ACTTGAGGCCACGGGTAAAGAAGACGACCTCCCCAAGGCCAGGCAGGCGGAAGCGCAGAGGCAGGAGGGACTTGTTCACTAGTGCCACCATATAGTTCTGGAAACGGAGGATGCGATGGTAGATGTCCAGCTCTGTCAGCTCACGCTTGTGGATGCAGATCTGGTGCTCTTTCTGGGTCTGCACAATCCGGGCCTGCACTTCCTGCCACGTGCAATATGGAAGAGCAGACTGCAGAGTGGGGGACAGGGAAAGGACAGCTGTGGTTATTACCTGACCCCCTTGCCCTGCACAGATGAGAGGCTCAGGGGTCATGTGCTTAGCTCAGTGAAGTCTTTCAGCAGTTGCACCCTGACCTCCTGCTAGTCTGGATCTCAAAAGTCCCCCCAAGACCCAGGTGTTGATGGCTTGGTCACCAGCTGGTGGTGCTACAGGAAGGTGATGGTATGTTTAAAAAGTAGGATGGCCATAAAGAGGGATAAACTTGAGACATGTCTAGCTAAATGGATGCACCATGAGACCATACTCTTAAGAGAAATAAATTGAACACAAAATGTTTAAATACTGCACTGTTTCTCTGGTATGAAAAACTGAAAGTGTAAATAAGGGCCAAAGTATATAATAGATATTGCGAAATGGGAAGAAAATGTTCAAATGAGAAGGAGAACAAGGGAAGGGGTAAGGGGAAAGGAAGGAAGGGACAAGAGAAAAAGAATACAAGATAAAAATGGAAACAAAGCTTTTGTAAATAAGCAGGGGATGAGGGGTTCTAGGGAAAGGAGGACAATGGGAAAAAAAGAATTAAGATATATCATGTACAGGTACAAGTTCCCTATGATGAATATCATTATTATGTACAGTTAAAATGTACCAATACAATTTTTTAAAATGCAAAAAAAAAGAATAGGTCTATCAGGAGGAAGTCAGATGATCAGGGGCTTGCTTTTAAAGGGCATATTGGGACTTGGAACCCTGGCCTAGTCCTGTCTTTCTCTATTTCCTGGCTACCATGAGATGAACATATCCTGTGCTGCATGTTTCTGCCATGATGTACTGCCTCACTGTAGGCCTAAAAGCAAATGGGACAACCAACCAGGGTGTGAAACCTCTAAAACTGTAAGCCAAAACAGATCTTTTCTCTTTACAAGCTGATTATCCTGAATATTTTGTCACAGTAGTGAAAAGGTGACTAGCACACTGCCAGTGATGGATGTCAATGGGTGATGCCCAGGAATACTCCTCATCCTTCCCAAGATGTTTTACGGTATGGTGCTAATAGCCCTCTTCCATCTTACCATGGGGATGCGCAGAGCATGCAGGTAGAAGGAGTGGATCTCCCAATAGCAGCAAATATTATAGATGAACTTGATAAGCCGGTGGATCCAGAAGACACCAGCAACGACCAGGATGGTGATAAGTGAGCCATTTTCCTGAATCCTGGTGGGGGGCAAAAAAGGAGATGTGAGGTAGTCCTTTATTAAGGAAAGGCTCAAGATGAGCTGCTATCCCAAAGGATTCCTCTAGGTTGAGCCTAAGTCTGTGTTCTGGGGTATGAGTTACTGCCTCATGCTCCACTGCTTACCTGTTAGCAAAACTGGACTTCAGTGCCCTTTGACCTATGGCCTTACCTGGCACTACAGACTTGGGCAGGCAAAAAGGCGTCTGGCAGAGTGACCTTGACAGGTTCAGTAGGATGCAGACTGTGGTTCACCATCTTGTTGGCAAATAGGATGTCGTAGTCCACACAGCTAACCAGGAAGGTGGTGAAGGCAACCACAAAGAGGAACTGCCTAGGGAGTTAGGAAGAAGGGTATAGTCCGAGAGTGAGGGAGGCACCAATGAAATAAAATGGGACAAGAGAAGAACCTGGAAGCAGGCAAACAAGATGGGAAATCGAAGGGGGTGGGAAAAATCCCAAAAGGCCTTCTCTGTTGCTCAGCCTCAAAGAAAGTTTTCAGGCCCAAGTCAGCTCCTAGTTTTTGCTCTTAGAATCAGACACCACGGTATCAGCTTGTTTTTGTTACTTCATGGTAATCTGCCACTCCCACCACCACCAGCGGATTTAACTTTCAGAGGTTTCATGATTATGGTCTCTGGTCTTCCCTTTCTGATCCTTTTGAGATTATAGTCAGAAGCCCTTTAAGATAGGAATAGAAGCCCTCTCATTGGGAGGGCTTCCCAACTCCTTCCCCTTCAGCAACACCATAAAACTCCTCCCTCCTAGAAGGTACAACCAAAGCAGCATACAGGCTCTTTCCTCAAGTATGTTTTGGTGCTACACAGGGCCCAGAACTATAGAGGTTTTGCAGAGTTTTGAGCATGGGCCCGAGCGTTATGGTCAGTGGAGTTCGATATTGGCACAAGGAAAAGAAAGACTGAGATGTATTCTTTCACCACATCATCTGTCCCTTCCTTTCACATACTTACATGAGCTCAAAGATCTCCCCAATGAGCATACATGTGAAGCCATTCTTCTGGTGTAGGTTATAAACGTGTACATGTTAAGAAAAAGTGATCAGTAAAGAGCAACTGAGAACACAGACTTTGATGTCACACACCCGCGCTTAGGTCCTGAATCTGTGACTCTGTAGAATATGACTTTAAGTTACTTAACCTCTTTTAAGTTTTTGCCCACACTGGTAAATTAGGGATAGTGATACCTGTCTTATAGGATTACTAGGTCCAAGAAAATCCATGCAGAGTATCTGACACAGAACTGACAAAGAATGAGTCAAAAGACATTAATTATTACCATGATTAAAATCCTATCAGAAAGGAGGATCACCCTTAGAAAGGCTGCTTATAAATCAACACCACAAAAGACATACAGGTAGAGGGATCTCAGCAAGTGTAGGGTATCATTATTTTTAATGATCATTATTTCACTATCCTCTGTCAGCCTCAGGATGTCGTTTCCTCTTTCAGGGATTAGAGTTCAACCTACCCCAAATTCCCCTCAGGGACCTGGCTCAGAGAGGGGCTAAGGGTCCCAGAGCTCCACCACAGGGACACCAAGGATATTCGGGAGAAGAAGAGGTCAAGGTTTTCAATATGGTGCCAAGGTGCTGTGGGCAGAGAAGAGAAATGTCAGAGCCCTGAAGGAACAAAAGCCCCTCATCCCTCAACTCTCCCCATACCACAGCAACTCACACTTGCTCCCCTCAGCCACATGTACCAATAGGTCCTCCTCCCCAGGGGGTGAATCGCTATAGGAGGCCTCTAGGCGCTGGTATTCCGTGTCAAACTGAGCCATCACCGCCGCCCCCTGTCCACCTTGTCCACCTGCCAATGATGAGGAAGAAGAGATCCTGGTTTAGAATCAGGTGCTGCTCATCTACTGCTCTGCCTACAACAGCAGGGGTGAGAAAGATTCCCTTGGGCTTTGCCTTCACCACCAGCCTCCTTGGCTCGAAGGCAGAGCAGGAGATATTAGCCAAGGAGAGTAGTAAGCTTGAGGGGTTAGGGGACCCTTAACCCCTAATGGTCAGTCATTCCCAGAGCCTTTACTGGGTGTCTACTGATGCCTCCCTAGCTTGCAGCCAGAATCTGCCCCTTTGGTGGGGGCGGGGGGGGCTTTTTCATCTTCTACTCAATGGAAGGAAATTTCCCTCCCCTGCCCCTCCTGGAAACCCTGTTCTGCCCAGAGACTAGCAGTCTGAAAGTATTTTGTAAACAAAGGTTTAAGATAAGCACATGGCCCTACCAGCTCCATGGACAGTGTCTGCTCCACTCCAGCCCTGGATGCCCTGGCTTGACAGCTGCTGGAGGAGAAGGTGTCAGGCCCCAGAGAACCGGGAGTGGGGACAGAATCCCAACCCTCCCACTTACCCAAGTACCACAAGGAGGAGGGCAGGGAGACCAAGTGAAGAAGAGGCACCTTCCAGCCTAGGACTGTGAGACCCTTCCATCGGCTGTACTATAGAAGGCCACCCATCCACATCTAGAATACCAGGGAGTAAACCTACTGACCTGTGGAGACTGAGTCAGTACAGGATGGAGAATGGGTGGCCCCCCTGGACTGTCTCCACTGCTCCACTCCAGTTTCAGAAATTAGACATGCCTCTTAGCGTCCACAAAACCCCAAGAAGTATTTTCTGAAGAGGATCTTTCTGGTCCACCTCTCCTCCTGATTTTTTGGTTTTTTGGGGTTTTTTTTTTTTTTGTTTTTTTTTAGCACCAAAGACCCAGCAGACATGGTCTGCATAGGAAACTCCAAGTCAGTGTAGACCCAGATCCTGGGTGAATCTGTGGGTTCCCTCGATCCCTGGAGCCAGGCCGGGTCAAGATGGTACTCACCCAGACAGTGCAGACCCCGAGGACCGTGGGTCTTGGCCTCACATGACCCTAGTGGGATTTGCTGGGTTATTGAGAGCTCTGTCTCTCAGGGAATTCACCACTCACCGGGTCAGTATAGACCCAGGGCCCAGGGACCCCAGTCAGGCAGGGCCTGGCTCATGGGTGCCTGCGGATGTTGAAAAGGTCGATACCCCCGGTGGGCTGGGTTTGCTTCCCCGCCGCCGGACCGAGCACAGGCGCCCTAGGGTCGGCCGGCCCCGAGCCGAGTAGGGCTTGGCTCCCAACAGCGGGTCTACCTCGTGCGCGGCCCCGCCGCCCATGCGCGCCCCCGTCCGCGCGCGCCCGCTATCAAAACATTCCGGCCGCGCGCCCCCGCCCCGCCCGAGGCGCCCCTTCCCCCGCTACTCGCCGCCAGCTCACTTGGTCTACGTGGGCACCCTGGCCAGGTCCAGCTTGGGCCCAGAATTTCAATGCCCAGTCTCGCGTGTCACCTTAGGAACCGCGACCCCGGCTATTCCAGACTCTCGATCTGTTCGGCTCGGCTCGGCTCGGCCAGATCCCGAGTGCTAGGCCCGGCGTCTGCCACTCACTGTCACCCGCAGCTAGCCTGGCCTATGAACATGAGGGGTGGAGACACGACGGCCAATTCTCGGCCCAGGAGGTGGGACTAAGGGCTAGGGGCGGGGCCTGGAGGTCAGAAGACCAATCATGTACTCTGGGTGGGGAGGGGCTCGGGTGCGGGCTACGCTGTTTGTCCTCTTCGCGACCCCGTAGTGACGGGATTGTTGTGGTGTTGCAAAAATCTGACTTTCGAATAAGGCTTGAGTGCCTCTCCGGCTCCCGGGAAACTTGTTGCAGTTTCTGAAGGCAAGGGCGAATCTCTAAGATTCAGTCAGTGCCGGACCTTATCTCTTGGGTAACGAAGGTCGGTTAGGCAACATCAGTGATTAACTCATTGAGTCAACTGTGGGACTCTTATTTGGAGCGGGATGCTCCCCACTACACTTTTGGGGTCTGAGACCAGGGGTTTGAGAAAATGGAGCGGGGTTACCTGTTTACCGCGGATCTGACTCCTAGTAGCAGGTTGAGGGCCAAAGGGTCTTGTAGGTTGAGGAGAACGAAGGCAGGCAGGCAGGAGACGTGGCAGTAGGATCTCGCTGTGGTGGGCTCTGTTTCTAACTCCTGTTCTGCTCCAGCAACAGCTTCTAAGTAATTCCGATTTAGACATGTCGCCGGCTCCAGCTTCCCCGCCAGTACCTGTGTCGGTCTCCCTGTTTGACCTCACCGCGGATGCTCCAATCCTTCGGGGCCTGAGCCTGAGGAGCCAGGATCCCAGGGAAGCTCTGGCTCGGGCTCTGCCTACTTCCTGTCCAGGTATCCGAGAAGATTTGGGGTGGATCCATGAGGAACAGGGCTCATTAGAGCGTATTACTCCTCCGGGGAACATTCTCACTGGTATTTACCAGCTCAGGAACCCAACTGACTTTTCTTCCTGCTGGATACAGTTTTTCTAAAAATTTATTTAATCTCGGGGTAGTTTCTAGCACAAGCCCCTGAGATGTCTTCAAACAAGTCTTTGGATATTGCTGTGATTCATTACATTAACACCACTACCTTCAAAACCACTTCAGAATACCTAGATATGTTCCAAATTTAACCGGACTCCAGTGATATAAAACAGTTTATTATTGGTTTTGTAAAACTTTACACTTTGGGGTACTGCTTTCTTACATTTCTCTTTAGATTAATTGGAATTGTAAGCTTTAAAATGACATTTAGGAAGTAGTTTGTACAATTAAGATAAAGAGGTGAGGGTGTAACTCAGTAGTAAAGTGCTTGCCTACCTCTGGACTGGATCCTCAGCACTGCAAAAAATATAATAAAATAATTTTATGGCCTACTGGGAAGGAGCTGAAACTCAGACACCTTTTGGGGACCTGGAAGTAGAGTTTTGGTTTTGGTAACTGAATGAAGATGTGGTTTGAAATTCTCCCTGGACTTGTCTTCATGGGAGTGTTTGCTCATCTTGGGAGTGGCTACTGGATGGGTGTATCAGCAAGTTCACTAATGAAAACAAGGAAAACGGGTTGCCCACTCTCCGTATCAGTGGAGTTTGCTGGAGAGCTCTGGAATTAATTGTTAACTGTGTCAGAGGGTTTGGAGAGCACTGATTAAAGAAACATTTTCCTGGTTGATGAAAAGAATAGCTCAGTTATGGTCATTTACTCTTGTTAGAAGTTTTACAGTATATTTGTGTAGTATACAGTGTGTTATGCATTGCTTAATGAAATAATATGGAAATAAATAAGATGGAAAAAGTGGTTTTGGGACTGTGGATGTAGCTGAACGGTAGGGCAGTTGCTTAGCATGCATGAGACCCTGGGTTCAGTCCCCTTCACTAGAAGGGGAAGAGAGAAAAAAGAAAGAAAAATTTAACCTTATTGTAAGTTATTTTCTACAGGATTCATCTGAACAGTCTCTTTGGCTGATTTAAATGCAATGCTTTATTTACATTCATTTTATTTATTTATTGGTCTTTTTGAGACAGGGTCTTGCTATGCAGTTCAGGTTGGCCTTGAGCTCACTTGTAGCCCAGGCTGACCTTGAACTCTCAAGGATCCTCCTGCCTCAGCCTCCTAAGTGCTGGGATTATAGGCGTGTGCCACCACGCCCGGCCACATTCATTTTAAATACATCTTTTCAGAAGCATATTTATTGTAAAGAGTGATTGCTGTACTGTTTACTTCATGATTGCTGGATTATAAATCCCTTGAAGGCAAGGTCATGGTATCTCTTTTTTACTTTCCTCTTCTTTGTATTATCAGATACTGAATATAATTCCAGGCACTGCTCCCTTTTTACCTCCAATTACCCTTTCTTATTTAGGTTCAGGGGAGAAAGCAAGCCCAGAAAGAAAAGTACTCCAGGCTCCTCCTGATAGTTCGGAGAAGTTATTTTGTTCAGCCTGTAACCAGAGCTTCCAGCACCACCAGGAACAGGTAAGAGGCCAGTATAACATCTAGGCCATCTGGGACTAACTATTAAGAAGAAAAGTATGATGTGGGTAGGAAGAGGTAGATATTTATCTTCATGCTTTCCTAAAGCAGTTGCCTATGCTCACCTAAAGCAGTTGGTGTTACCTGGTCATACTTCCTGGAGTTCTGTGAGTGGCTTTCACTACTAGACAAGGCCAAGTTGGGACATTTTTGTCTTCTCCCTCCCTCTTTGTCTTTGTACCAGAGAGAACATTATAAGCTTGACTGGCATCGCTTTAATCTGAAGCAACGTCTCAAGGACAAGCCTCTTCTGTCTGCCCTGGACTTTGAAAAGCAGAGCTGCACAGGTGATCCTGGTGGGAGTAGGGCACTGGGGTAGAAGGAGTTCCTAAAGTCTGAGGAAAGGTCAAAGATGGGGTACCAGGTTTGTGTGTCCCGTTGTCTTCAGGAGATCTTTCCAGCATCTCAGGATCAGAAGACTCAGACTCGGCCAGTGAAGAGGATTTACCCACGCAGGGCGAGAAGAGGGCTGAATGTGAGAGGCCTAACCGACCTCGAGGCTTTTACCCTCATCGGGTTATTTTCCAGAATGCCCAGGGCCAATTTCTTCAAGCTTACCGCTGTGTCCTAGGTCCTCACCAGGCAAGTGACAGCACAGGCTGTGTGGTCAGCTCAGCTTTTTGTACATTTAGACCACATTTCTCCTTTGCCAGTCCGTGTCTCACTGCTTCCCTTCCTCCTTTTGGATGTAGGTATCACACTTGACAGCACAGTCTTGGATTGCAAGTGGCGTAAATCTTGAAAGCGTCAAGTGTAATGGAATTAAGTTTGGAAATGGACCATTCTCTGTTTGAATTGTGGTTCTCCCTCTTGATCTTCTACCACTATCTCTTCAAGCCTCAAATTTCTTTCTTTGTAAAACAGAAACAAGGCTTGAGGTGGTTGTAAAAAATGAGATCATGTATGTGAAGCAGTCTGGCACTTGCTCTCATGCTGTCAATGAGTACAACAAATAGAATGTTTCTGCTGTGTTTCTGTCATACAGCTTCCCCCAGATGAGGCAAAATTGCTGCTACAGAGCCTGCAAAATGGAGGTCCAAGACACTGTGTGGTGCTCATGGCTGCAGCTGGGCATTTTGCTGGTGCCATTTTTCAAGGGTGAGAGGGTGCTGCATGGGGTGAGGATAGCATGGATTCTGTTAGTCTAGAGCACCTGCTTGTCTCTAGTACTAAGTCTGTGCTGTCTACAGAAGAGAAGTGGTAACACATAAAACCTTTCACCGATACACTGTGCGGGCCAAGCGGGGTACAGCCCAGGGTCTTCGGGATGCCCAGGGTAGGCCATCTTGCTCTGCCGGAGCCAACCTGAGGCGTTACAATGAAGCCACACTGTATAAGGTAAGTTTAGCCTACTAGATGTAGTGATCCTAATCACTTTTATCCCTCTAGTTCAACTCATTAATTGTTACAGTGGGGAGGTTTGGAACTCATCCTTTCAATTTTCATTATTCCTTCGCAGATAAAGTAGACTAGGGATATGTAGGATGTCTTTCTCTTTTTATGTTATTCTCTACCTCTAATTTTCTGCAAATTATCTATGGGCCAGCTTTTGGTTAGAGATTGTATTTTACTTTTATTTTTTGAGATGGGGTCTTGCTATGTAGTTCAAGCTGGCCTTGAACTTACTATGTAGCCTAGGCTCGCCCCAAATTTGCAGTGATCCTCCTGCCTCAGCCTCTTGAGTTCTGGGGATTACAGGTGTGTGCTACTATGCCAGTTGGTTAGAGATTTTAAAATAGCAAATGAAGATATGCCATTTTCTTTTCTAGGATGTTCGTGACCTGCTGACAGGGCCAGGCTGGGCTGAAGCTCTGGAGGAGGCCAGGATAATACTGCTGCGTGCCCCCCGTTCTGGTCGGTCCTTGTTCTTCGGAGGCCATGGAGCACCACTGCAAAGGGAGGATCCTCGACTTTGGGATATCCCTCTCCCCACCCGCAGACCCACCTTCCAAGAGCTCCAGAGGGTGTTCTATAAGCTGACCACTTTGCATGTCTATGGTGAGCCTCTGAAGCAGGGCCGAAGACATCCTAGCCCTTAGAGTATTCTAGCTCAAGCCTTGATTTTCATGTGTACATCCACAGGATTTTTTTAGCCCTTGTACTGAAGCCTGAGACCTGATTATGGTTTTGGGTTTTGTTTGTTTTGAGACAGAGTCTTGATGTGTAGTTCAGGCTGGCTGTGAGCTTACTATGTTGCTCGGAATGGCCTCAAACTCTCTTGCAATCCTCCTGCCCCAGTCTCCCAAGTGCTGGGATTACAAGCATGCACCACTATACCGAGATTATGTGTTTTCATTGAGAGAAACCTGAGCTAACTTCTCCTCTGAGAAGTTTAAGGAAGATCTTTTGTTTTATGACAGAGAACTCTCCGGAAACAGTCAGGTTGCACTCACCTCAGGCACACTGGAAAACAGTGAGAAAGGAGAGGAAGAAGCCAACTGAAGAAGAAAGAAAAAGAGTCCTGAGCAATGAAAATGAGGAGCTTGGACAGAATGGAGAATCACCTAAACAGGGTTTGAGCAATATCTGGCAGCTGTCAAATCTGTCTGGGTGTCTGTCCTGGAAATGTAGTGGCAAATTTTCTTTTTTCATAACTTACCTATCACCCAGCTGATAGGTGGGCCCTCATACCACACACACACACACACACACACACACACACACACACACACACTCACTCTCCAGTGTTTGCTTTTAAGTGAGATATGTCCTAGCAATCACTGGGATGCATATAGTGACTTTTCCAAATCTCCTATTACTCTCTGTTTATGGATATATCCCCAGTGCTTAGAAAAGTCCTAGCATGCAGTAGATGCTTGAAACTATCGCTGGGCATGGTGGCACATGCTTGTAATCCCAGCACTTGGGAGGCTGAGGCAGGAGGATCACTGCAAATTCTGGGCTACATAGTGAGTACAAGGCCAGCCTGAACTATATAGCAAGACCCCATCTCAAAAAACCAAAAACTAAAAAGAAAGAGAGAGAGAGAAAGAGAAAGAAAGAATGGCATTAAGTCTCACACTATTTATTGGATGCTGTGGTTGGGGGCTAAGAGGTGCTTCCATGTTTTCCTTTACTGTGCACATTCTAAGGCTGCTCATAGAAAGAATCCAGAGACGAAATAAAAACAATTTCATTTCCAGATGGTCTGAAATATCTTTTTTTTTTTTTTCCAGTATCAGGAATTAAACTCACAACCTCACGCTTGCCAGGCAGGCACTGTGCCACTGAGCTAAATCCCCAGCCCCTTGTTTTTTGTTTTTTTCTGTGAAATATCTCTTTATAGATATGATCAATCAGAGGCAGCTCACATCCTCCCACAGTCTGCTTATGTCTTAGATGGATCTATCATAGCAGATTTTTCTCTAGGTTCAGGGTCGGAAGACGAGGATGGATCCCAGGTAGAGTTGGAGTTAGTGGAGCTGACACTGGGAACCCTGGACCTTCGTGAGTTTGAAGTATTGCCCAAAAGGAGGAGGAGAAAAAGGAATAAAGAGAAAACACAAGACCATGACGCTAGGGCATGTATGACTCTTAATCAGCAACCCCAAGAAGATGAGCCCATTTCATCAGCTCAGTCAACCCAGGTGGTTGCAGCCCCCTTGGGGTCCTCAGTGAATGAGACAAAGGCCCCTGGTCAGCCAGAACTCTGGGATGTGCTTCTAGCTGCTTGCCGAGCTGGAGATGTTGGAAAGCTGAAGCTCCAGCTAACTGCTGAGGCTTTAGCCACTGAAGCTATGTCTCTACTCAATGCCCCCTTGGGTGCTGGTAGCCATACCCTTTTGCATGCAGCAGCTGCAGCTGGAAGAGGCTCAGTGGTTCGGCTGCTGCTGGAGGCAGGAGCTGATCCTACTATGCAGTAAGTAAGGGTCTCCCTCTTGGGACATTTTGGGTATGAAGAGGATAATTTAATGGCATTGGCCACTTACTAGTATTCCTTTTGTCTGACTGGGCAGTGTTGGGCAAGATAGGGGGCAAACTGAACCCATTTTTGTACCTAGGGACTCCCGGGCCCGGCCACCTTATACTGTGGCAGCTGACAAATCAACACGAAATGAGTTCCGAAGGTTCATGGGGAGGAATCCAGATGCTTATGATTACGACAAGGCTCAGGTCTGCTGGAAAAGGAAGGAGATGCAGAGTGGGAAGGCACTGTGGATTCTGGCTAGATATTTTTTACATGTAGTTTTACCAGAGGTAATGTGTATGGATCCTACCTAATATCTGCTCAAATCCCCCAGGTGCCGGGACCACTGACCCCAGAAATGGAAGCACGGCAGGCTACACGGAAGAGGGAGAAGAAGGCAGCCCGGCGGCAGCGAGAGGAGCAGCAGCAGAAGCAGCAGGAGCAGGAAGAACAGGAACAAGAAGAGCAGCGCCGATTTGCTGCGCTCAGTGACCGAGAGAAGGTGAAGCTGCAGGGTTTGCCAGAGCAAGCCTTCTTTCTTTGACAGTAGCAACATTTTATTCAAGGTAGAGAAAGAAACAGACTCGACAGAGTGAGTTTGGGCCAAGTAAAAGTAGGAAAAGAAGTACACACTACAGCATGAGATTGGGCCACCATCAAGAGAGAACAGTGGCCAGCTTCTTTAGAGGTCTCATCCCCTCCCAGAGAGCAGCTGTCACTTCTTGGGTAAACTAACACAGCTTCTCTTTCTCAGAGAGCCCTGGCTGCAGAGCGCCGGCTTGCTGCCCAGTTAGGGGTCCCTGCCCCGCCAGTCCCTGACTCCGAGGTCGCCAATGCTCGGTATGGGACCAGGGGCTGGATGAAGGCGTGGACTCTAATGTCGTAGGGACCATTTGGGGCAACAGAATGAGTGCCAAACTGGTATTCAACAGGGATGGTGAGGGGATTTGAAGTACTTGGGAACTTCGGAGTGCTGGGGGGAGCTTGGATTGGAAAGTTTCTGGGATACCTGTCCAGCTATGTTTCTTCCTCTTCAGACGCTGCTGGAATTGCGGGGCATCGCTCCAAGGCCTCGTTCCCTTTCACTACCTCGACTTCTCTTTCTGCTCCACACGTTGCCTCCGGGATCATCGCTTTCAGGCAGGAAGGCCCTCTTCCTGATCATTCACAGCTCTACCTGGGCCCAGCTTGAGAGGACACATTTGCACCAGTCCTAGCTTTCTTCTTCCCAAGACACCAGACAGTAGTTGAAAGAGCAGGGTAAGGAATGTACAGGAACCAGGGCAAAGACAGGGCCACAGGGGTGTATGGAGTTGGTACTGTCTCTGGTCTTTAATCACAATAAAGTTTGGCAAGGAAACTGCACTTGTACTTACATTCAGAGGTATTCTGGTCTTATGGTCACCATGGCCAGCACCAAAAGATCCTGCCCACTCCATGTCCCAGGCCCTAGGGTCATCTTTTTTTTCAATGCCCACTTAACTCCATTGGTTGATAGGCACTTTGTGCATCTGAGAGAAGATCAGTATGTGTCCTATGCAAGGTACTGTTGAGGATAGGCTTGTCCAAAAATTGGATATGGGGCTGAGGAGGTACATTTTCTAGCTCCAGCAATGTGATTTTGTTGATGCCTCCCTTAGGAAACAACAGAGGTCTTGGCACATAGAGGGTCTGCTGTGGCCCCTGCTTTGTCCAGTACCGGCCCAAGTTAAACCCATTGATCCAGACTTGGCCCTGGGGGAGACGGAGAGTAGGGAAATGAAGGGGGTCAGCTCTCCAGGGGATAGAATGACCCCAATTTGTTTTTCTGATCCATTCCCCTTCTTTACATGATTTTTCTTTTAGCACCCCCACCCTGCCAACCACTAGCAACCATTAGCAATACCTTGGTCCATCCAGGTAGATAGAGAAATGTATCCCCAACTGAGCCTAAAATTGGAAAAGTTGTCGAATAGAAGATGGGGCCAGAGGGAGCGGTAGGCTGTTTTCTTTTCTGCCCCCGGAGGGGAAACCACCACTTTACAAGATTATCAATTTTCAGAGGGAACATCATCCACTGGGTAAGGATTGTTTGCCCCAGCACTGGGGGTTCTAACAAACCCTGTGGGGAGGCAAATGAGAGGTGATTATTCACTAAGCTCAAAGGCCACAATAGCCCTAATCCAGCCCTGAGATATAATGGTAGCCATGTCCAGGACCCCACAAGCTATTACTTTCCTCTTTTAACTTGTAAGGGCACAGCTATGGTTGCTCTTCCATTAGGACCCTATCCTTTCAAGGATGATAGTCAATAAGAATAATAGGGGGAAAGTGTAGGCAAAGGTAGCTTACCTTAAAGTCACTGTGGTTAGACCCAAAACTGAGCCTCCCCATGTTCTCCAGCAACATATCCAGTTGAGTTCCTATTTCCCCCATCAAAAACAGTTCGTGTTTCATATTTCGTTCAAGAACACCCTGGAACACCTGTGGATAAGAGACAGGATCTATGAAAGGAAGAGCTTAGTGTCTAGCTCTTGGCTCCTGTACAGGGAGCCACATTAGAATAGTTATGTGGAGGGCAAGAAGAATGAAGCCATCTTTCAGTCACCCATCAATCAGACTCATCCTCATTCCAGCTTATAACGCTGGACCCTCTGCAGATAGGAGCAGGCAGTAGAAAGGGTAGAGATGGAGAACATAAGGCCAAATGTATTGGGGGAAGGGAGGAAACTAGGGCTCACAAGGTAGCCAGGACTTAGGTTCTCACCCCATCCACCATCACATAGGCACGGTCGTGGACTCCATTATTTGGCACCCAGAAGGGTGTTGGTTCAAAAACCGTGAAAGACAGATAGGTCCGGTATAGCACAAAGCCATGGTCCTACGTATGGAAGGACGAAAGAAAAAGACACTGTCAAGAAGATTGATAGCTAAAAGGAACTTTTGCCTATATTGCATTCATTCTAGGAATCGCCTTCCCTACCGCATATAGGCTTCTGTCTTACCCACTTTTTTGTTTTGTTTTGTTTTGTTTTTTCTGAAATCAAACTCACGACCTTGTGCTTGCCAGGCAGGCGCTGTGCCGCTGAGCTAAACTCCCAGCCCCTGTCTTACCTGCTTAACAGCCTCAAAGGTCATTGGCAAGAATGAACGGATAGGTCCCTGGGGGCAGAGAACATCTAGGAAAGTCAGCAAACCTCCATCCTATTAGAATAAGGGGCAAGAATCAGAATAAGAAGTTTCTGGATTGAGGGCAGGACCAGGTAGCTATCCAGAGTAAAAGCATAGAGTCAGGAAAGATGGAGAGAAACTTACCAGGTGCAGGGTTAAAGGTCCAAGAGCCATCTTGCGACTGGGAGGAGGTAAAGGTCCCAAAGGAATTTCCTGAAACTGAACCCAAATCCTCTCAGAGCCATAGGAAAATGACAGAAACAACCTCTATTCCAAAGCCGTACAGGAAAGACCTTTTTTGGTGGTATTGGGGTGGAACACAGGGCCATACAATAAGGTACATCCCCAACCATTGATTTATTGATTGTAGTACTGGTGATTAAACCCAGGGCCTTCACACTGAACTATACCCCCAGCCTTCCCTACCTTTATTTTTTAATTTTTGAGACAGGGTCTTGCTAAGTCACTAGACTGCCCAGCTGGTCTTGAATTTACAGTCTTCTTACCTCAGCTCCCACTGTGCTGGGATTACAGGTGTACATCACAATTCCTAGCTTTAGTTTTCACTTTGAGACAAAGTCTTGCTAAGTTACTAGGTTGGGCTCAGACTTGAGGTCTTCTTGCCTCAGCCTCCCAGTGTGCTGAGATCATAGGTATATGTTATGATGCCTGGTTTAGAGCAAGTTTCTTATCTTGGGGCTCAGGGCTTTCAGAGATCATGAAGACCCTATAATTTTGCACACACATGTGTAACTCCCCATATAGTCCCATTTGAGTGAATAGGAAATAACTTCCATGGGATGTGCAAAGAGCTCTGGCCCAGACAGCCACCACCAATTTATGGGATCCTATTATGAGTTGGGCACTCCCTTCTCCAAAATTAATAAAAGGAGGCACCTTGCTGATGACATTTCGAAGAGCAAAAAGCTTAGGCATGGGGTCCCCTGCTTCAGATATGGGTGCATCATAGTCATAGCTGGTAGTAATTGGAAGGAAGCGTCCCTTGTCATCAGCACCTGGGGTAGAAACAATTTCATTAATTCATGATATGTTCTGGATGATGCAGTAAGCAAAGAACTTAATGCAGAGAATTATGCCATCAGAGCATAATAGAGGGGCACTGCTGCCCTTCTAGACATGCTAACGCATCCAGCCCTGAGATCTAATTTTGTTACCTCGCTGCTCCTGCCCTAGGGGCCACCTATACTTACCATTCCAGTATCCAAAGTTGGTTCCTCCATGGAACATATACCTGGAGGGAGGGAGGGCAGGGGGAAAGATAAAAGCTGACCCAGTGAATCTTTTTTTTTTTTTTTTTTTTGCCAGTACCAGAAATTGAACTCATGACCTCACACTTGCCAGGCAGGCGCAGTGCCACTGAGCTAAATCCCCAGCCCCTGACCCAGTGAATCTTAACATTCACCCCCAGCTCCAAGTAACAGATCTGTATTGTGTCTCCAGTTACATGTTCACGCTGGCTCCCAACTTGAGCATGTTTTCTAGTCCTATGGTTACTGATGGAATGGACCGAGTGGAGTGATTGTAGCCCCAGTAATCCAGCCAGCCTGTGTAGTACTCGGAGTTCACCTAGGGTGTAAAATGGAAAGAGCCATGAGTAGGTGGGAACCAAGTTGAAGCCATTCCCATCCCGACTCTTGCTTTGATTCCCTTCCCCTCTGGCCCCTCACCAGTGGCCCACGGGGTTCATACTTGCGAAGCAGGCTAAAGATTTTGGTCATATTGTCAGCTACAGGAAGGAGGCAAGGGTAGAAAATAAGTATCACAGAAAAGTTCCCTCTTCCCAAGGCTCCACTCCCATCCCTTGTTTAGGAGACCTGGACCAAAATCTACAGTGGCATAGAGTCCTGGGAGGGAGCCACATCTGAGTCCTTCTGGCCCATCTGTGGTAAAGAGCAAGATCTCATCTCCTAGTAGTGCACGGAAGAGTCCTGCCAGGTGTCTCATGTAGCTGAAGTCGCAGGCCTTGTAGCTACCATATTCATTCTCCACCTGCCAGAGGAAAGGGAATGCGGACGAGGTGGAGAAGGATAAGCACCCCTTGCACCTCCTTCCCTTGCCCAGTCGACTTCCCACGTGTACCTGAACGCTAATGATGTTGCCTCCATTGTGGTAGAGAAATGGATATATCTTGGGCAGCAAGACATTTAACCAGGAGTCCACTGCGGCAAGAAAGTCTAAAGGAAGGAGCAGCACTCTGCTCATTAGGGGTCCCCGCTACCTCTGCAGCCCCCGCCCCCAGCATCCCTGCTACAGTAGCAACTTCAGTGCTGCCCTTACTGTAGGCTGCCGCTTCCACCCTACTTGCTCACAACTAACTCTGGGAAGCAATGACTCTTAGGAGAAACTCTCAGCCTTGAACACTTAGAAACTTGCATATCAATAGAATTTGAACACAGGACCTTAATGTTCCTTAAAAGTACAAGAGCTGGACATGGTGGTGCTGCATGCTTGTAATCTCAGCTACTCAGGAGCCTGAAGCAGGAGAATTGCAAGTCTGAGTCCAACCTGGGCTATTTTATGAGACTGTCTCAGAATAAAAAGGGCTGGGGATCTAGTTCAGTGCTTTCTGGATTCACACCCCAGCCCTGTCCCCGCCAAAACCTACATAATAAAAAAGTTAAGCACATAATAGAGTTATCATTGTAATCAACTTTTACCTATGATGTACCATGGAAACTCATAGAGCATCTGGCTTGCACCCTGAAGGAATTAACTAACAGTCCAAGTGGTTTAAGTCGGCAATTCAGGCATCATGCCTTAAACCTTTAACTCCTTCTTGTGATTTTTGTGGTTTCCCCTCAAGGTCTTCATGCATGTTGTTTCCTCTGACATTTTTCTTCCTATCTGCCTGTATTTAGCCAGTTCCAACTCGTGTCAATTCTTAATTTGTATTTCATTTCCTCAAGAAAACCTTTGATATCCCAGACTAGGATAGCTCCTGTGTTACATACTCTCACAGTACCACACACTTCTCTATTAGGTACTTAAATTATAATTGAGCATCTGTGCCTGTCGATGTTTCTTGCTAATGTCTTCCACTGGTGAGCAGGAAGCTTGCCTGGCAGGTTCACGTGCTACATCCCTGTCATTAAGGATGAAACCTAGCAGACAGCAGACTCTCAAAGGTGGAGTCAATTAAGACACTCTGGAGATGCTTTTTGATTCTTAAACCATTTTTTGAATTTTTAT